ATATATATATATATATACACATGGGTATATATGTATATATGTATGTATATGTTTGATGTATGTGTGTGTGTGTGTGATATTTTCACTACGTTTGGTACATGAAAACAGTCGGCTGCCACCATCAAATCTTAAGTGCCCCGCTTCATAATTTTCCTCGAGTATAGTGAATTATATTCTCCTCTACTCGTTATTTTTTCCATCTCAGGTTTTACATATAAATTTTTGTTTTATTCTATTTGCTTCTTTTGTGGTCCATAACATAAACTTTGTGACAATAGTGTTGTTTAAATATTAGATATGTAAATTTAGGCTATTTTAGTGGCATTTATGAAAATCCCCTAAAATACTGCGACCACTTGGGCCTAAAGGGGAAACTTAACAGTAATAATAAAAAAAAGGTTTCTATTGAAATTACGATGTCCTCATTCAGTCCTTGAGCATGGAATATCTTCAGGTGTTCTTGATGCATGGAAATGCGCTTTTTATTGTATATTCTGTGCTCCTCTACTTTCAGTTATAAAGTGTCAATGTTTTCTTTTCTTTGAATGAAGAATCACTCCATCTGTTTACTGAGTTTACTCAGTTAGAACTCTTTTTTATTTTGTGGTGTACCCATCCATTCTCTTGGGAAAAGGAGTGTTTTTTCATTGGGAGTTGTATGAGTTTTTCTTTCTAATAAAAGAAGATCGATTTGGTCAAATTAGCCAGGAATCTTCAAGGTATTTGCATGATAAAACTTGGAATTTTTTTTTCTTGAAGTATGGAGATTCAAATATGTACTTGGTGTTTGTGAGGGATAGATACAAACATAGATGTCCGCATGTAAAATGTTGAAGGAAACCTACAAGCTTTGATAAACACAAATATGAACATATGTTTATTAGGTCTGAATGTAGTATGTCAGTTAACAATATAATTTGGCAGAGTACTTCGGCAAGCATGAGCGAAGGCTTTTATTACAGCACATCCAACTTTATTACGATATGTTAAACATAATAATTGTGTATAAATTCATACTTCATAACCATTTGGACTAAATATGATTTATTTCGAAGTTAGCCAGGGTATCTTCCTATACTTCTAAGGAGTAAATCAAGCAGGTCATGAGATGATGTGGTATGCTAGGCCCTTTGCACCCACACTGGGGACATATTGATCATTTATTTAGCATGTGCACCTATGTTTTTATAATTAGTTGATGGTCATATTTGCTACAATTTGGATCTTCTTCGTTTGTGGGAAATTTTGTTTGTGTATATGATTTTTCTGATGGTTGACTTTTAGTACATCAATTTCTGGGAATATTCACATACATACCATACCACCCATGCTTCAATTTTTACATATATGCACATTGCCTATGCTTGAAAAGGTGTATTTCACTCATGAAGAGTTAAAATAGTGTTTTTTTTTTGGTGTGATACAAAATATTTGGGGGGTATATATGTAAAAAGTAAAATTCAGTTGTTAGATATGTAAATACGTAAGAATGTAGATGCCCCTGATTTCTTTTAACATCCTAAGTTATTTATTGTTATCAAATTTCAATTTTTTTTTCATCATAAATAGTGAACAGTTGGTTATGATTAATAACCTTTGTCTTACAACATAAGTATGGATTCATGCCCTGCAAGTCTCTATATATTTATTGAGAGGTCTGCTGGAGAAGTATGGGGAGAATAATGAGGATCTACTATGATTTCTGTTGATTTAGAAAAAAACTTATGATAAGATTCCAAGAAAAGCGATGTGTTGATATTGCTTATATTCAAGTCATTAAAGATATGTATATCTGATATTTTAATTGTGTTTTGACAAAAGGAGCATTAACCAAGTATTTTCCTATTTCAGTTGAATTATATTAGGGATCGACTTTAAGCCCATAACTTTTTGCTTTATTTATGGATGTTCTTACTAAACACCAATAGGATAATGTTTTTCTGTGTGTGTTTATTTGCTGATAATATCTTTCTTGGGATAAGACTATATAGAGTTCATGAATAAACTTGAATTATGGAGGTAACTTTAGAGTCTAATTGCTTTAGTTTGAGTAGATTTAAAAGTGAATGCATGGAATGTAATTTTAATAGTACTAGATCTAGTGTTGGGCTCGTAAAAATGGGTGATCAAGTCGTTAAAATGAGTAAATATTCTAGATATCTCGTGTCTATTGTTCAAAGTGATGGTGATATAGATAGGGATGTTATTGATGTTATTAGTAAAATTAAAATTAAAGTTGGATGGTTGAAGTGGAGAAATGCATTGGGCCTATTGTGTGATAGAAAGCTTCCGCTAAGACTTACAAGTACAAATTTATAAGATGGTGGTGAAACTTGCAATGCTTTTATGGCAAATTCCTTTAAAAGAGAAGCATAAACTTAAGTTAAAGTGTTGTTGAGATGAGAATGCTCAGGTGGATGGGTGGCTTTACACTTAGAGACAAAATGTAAATATATATATATATAATGTCGGAGTAGCTCCATTGAAAAAGAAGATTAAAGAGAGTTATCGTAGATGATTTGGTCGTATTAAAAGTTGACTATTTGATGGCCCAATTAGGAGAGTAGATGTTTTAGATTTGACTTGTGTTGAGAAAGATAGAGGTAGACCTAAAAAGACTTGGTATGTTATATAAAAAATAGTATTTATTTATTAGAATTAAATGAAAATATAACCCTCAGCTGGACAAAATAGAAAAATGATTCACGTTTTTATTTATTAGAATTAAATGAAAATATAACACTCAGCTGGACAAAATAGAAAAATGATTCACGTTGCTTGCCCGAATTAGTGGGATAAATCCTTCTTGTCATCGTTGTAGTCGCCATCTTATAAACTTTGCAAGTTTTGCATCAATTTTCTGGACAACTTTACGATCTGCATCCAAATTCTAGTCTTCAAGACATCTTGCAGCAAATTTGCCATCAGGATTAAAAAATATATATATCTTTATTTGAAATCTTCATTACCATGCATTTCTAACTTATATTTGGGACTAATGGCTTCCATACCTTTTGCTACTATTTGAATCAACCATTAATTTCATTACCATGAATAATGCATTGCCATATTACTCTTATTAAAAAATTTATATTACCATAAACGTAATTTATATTCATGTTTATATAATAAGAAAATAATTATTTTCATATATAAAGAAGATAAATTATATATGTGATATCGTATCTACAACATAAGACATATGCAAACATATGATGTGTCTATATTTAATAATATCAATTATTTCCTATAACTATAAACAGGTCGATCGAATTAATTTTAAAATATGCCACATTCTATAACAAGGTCTAAATTATATGAATAAGTTAAAAATAAATTCTAATTATATTTTAATATAATCTATAGAAAATGATTAAATAAAATTTATGATATAATATAAATTATAATATAATAGTTTACTATATATAAATATCTTAAATTACAATTATAAACACTAATTGTGCGTGCGTGCGTGCCTCAGTGTGTGGGAACAAAATTGCGTATGTCTTACTTATGCAGCGCTGCGTGCATAATGGAGGTTAAATTTACGTTATATCGGTATTATATTTGTGTTATATCCCCTGTAATCTCGATGTAACTTCCATGTAATCTATAGATATGTGAAAACAGAAGCGCGAAACTTATTTGTAAGTTGAGGTAGGTTACATGTAGGTTATATGGAGGTTAGGTCACATCGAGGTTACATGCGTTATAACACGAATATAATGCGGATATAACATGAATGTAACATTCATTACGTATGCAGCGCTGCATACGTTACGTACGCAAATTTTTTCCCGGCGTGTGACTAAGTATGATATTTAATTAATTTTTTAAGCTTTTATTTATATTTTTAAACTAAATTACTTGCATATCATAATGTGTGATATATATAAATAATTTCAAAAGTTTAATTTATTATTTTGTTCGGCGGTTGATAATCTTATGATGTTCATTTCATTTTCCCAAATGAAAAACTTTCTGCATAAAAAAAAATATATAAATAAAATCGTATTTTATAAATTTAAAATCATGTAAATGTTTTTTTTTTTTTAATTATTGTTGAGAAATTAATAAATGAATAAACAGCTACATAACCGTTGCCTCTGACTGGTCACTAAATTCCCCCCCGCCGATTATTTGCGTACATAAGATGTACGCAGCGCTGCGTACATCAGATGTTATTCTGGGGGTACATGGGAGTTATATCCGGGTTATACCGGAGGTTACAAGGGGGTATAACCCAGAAATAACCTCATTGTACCTCCTGAATAACCCCTGATGTACGCATACATCTTATGTACGCAAGAGCCAAATCTAGCGAGTCGCACAGCTTTCCTTAGTCCTT